TCGTCATCAAGAAAATGATGACGACCACTTGTGTTGCGATCGAAACGTCGTAGTTTTTTGTTATCTACGTGACTTTACCGAAAGACCCAAAGAATAATATCGGCCCCCTTTTCATAACTGAATCGGGCCGCGGGGGCAACGACTCCACCAAGACCTTCCATCCTGTACCGTCCTCTGCCAGCGGCATCAACTGTGGCTTCCGGATCGCCGGTCTCTCCTTGGCCAGACGGCACCGCCGCCCCGGTCTTTCCAGCACGATCGCAGGCGGCCTCTGGGTCTTTTGCCTGGAGGATGTCCTTCGAACGTCTCCCGCGGGGGGAGTCTTTCTTTCGGCATCCTTAGCAGGTGACCCATCCTACCATAGCTGGCTTCGCTCCACGCTGAATAGTACAGACTGGACGTTGAGTCTGGCGGATAGCCGTGCTTCTCACCCGATCCCGGAGAGAGAGCCCTGCCACCCTGCGCAGGAAGCCCATTTCTGTTGCTTGCACCCTTGAGCGTGTCCTTTCCGTCAGGATCCAGGTGTCGTGGCCGTAGGTCAGGATGGGGACGAATATTGACTGATAAACCGAGAGCTTTGCCTGAAGGCTCAGCTCCTGTCTTGAGATCACAGACCGCTTCAGCGTCCGCATCGCTGCGGTCGCCGCTCTGATCCGGGCTTCAGTTTAATTTTCCCTTCTTCCATCCCTCGAGAAATACACCCAGATTTACCGGAAGCCTTCGACCTCCTCCACTACTTCCCCTTTGATGAAGAGGGGCTCTGCCACTCTGGTCCGCGCCACAGCCATGGTCTTTGGTCTTGGGGGTGCTGATGCTAATGTCGACGACCTCGCATTCTGCCACAAAGCTGTCCAGCGCATTCTGGTGGTCGGCGTGCGTTGGGGCTAGGAGGACGATGTCGTTTGCATACAGCAGGGCTGACACCTCCCTTTCGTCAACGCTGATGCCCGTGGCCACCGTGCACCGTCTCGTCAGTCGATCCATGAACAGGATAAGCAACGACGGCGATAGCACGCAGCCTTGACGAAGCCCGACCTGGTCTGGGAAGGGGTCAGTGAGATGTCCCGCATGCCGCGTAGCAACTGAGCATCATCACCTGCCACATCAACTCACGAGGTGCTCGGTCGTAAGCCTTCTGCAGGTCCGCAAAGCGCACGTGGACAGGTTGGGCGTACTTCCGTGACTTCTGGAGGAGTTGCTGTGGGGTAAAGAGCTGATGCACGGTACCCCACAAGAGGCAGAAAGCTCCTTGCTTTTTGGGTTGGATCATGCGAACAAATGTGTCGTAATGCCTCCTCCACCCGACGGCCAATTCATAAAAGTGCCACGTGACTCAAACGCCGGTGTGTTGGAGAGTAATCTCACAAATATTCGAATGGGTAACGACGTTTTGCTGGAGATTACATGCAGCATCCTAAGATCAACGGCTCAGACCTCGAGCAAAAGAGCTTCCTGATCCGGGTCCTTAGGCAGATGCTATGATGTCATTGGTACAGTCATGCACGTGATCTAATAACTCGCTCATTCCTAGTCGATCCGTTTTGAAAGCCTGCGTTAACAATTTTGAATAAATTTTTTTATGATTCACATTTCACGATGCAATAGTCGCATGTTCATCGCGGAGATGGAACGAGAAAATCAGCTCATCAGCAGGAGCTATTTAGATCATTGCATCACGAGAAGACTCTTTAGAGATGGCGATGGATTGGGGATGCTCTAATCCAGCAGTGGATAGATAATCGCTGATGATAAGGGCGAAAAAATATATTAAGCAACGGACTCAATATCACCTTCTTGGTTCTTTCGGTAAAGTCACGTAGAAGGGAAATAATAAAATAATAAAAAATAAAACATAATAAAATACAATTCTCACAACGTTTCGGCCACAACGCAAGCAGCCGTCCTCAGGTGAAGAACAAGCTTAAAGCTTAAATATACGCTGCCAAGCTTGGTGGTGTTCATTCAGACGCTGTCTTTCCGACAGACCTGTTCTTCAGCTGAGGACGGCTGCTTGTGTTGTGGCCGAAACGTCGTGAGAATTGTATTTTATTATGTTTTATTTTTATTATTTTATTATTTTTCTTCTACGTGAATTTACCGAAATAACCAAGAAGATGAATCCCTGCAGTCACGAAAGCTTTAAATTGACTCAATATCACTCGGTGTAACTTAAACAGCACGTGTAAATAACTATTTACTTTGAGTGATTTTAAAAAATTTTAAGATGTTTAATTTAAAAATGAGTTCGCAATCCTAGCGACGTTAAGGCTTCATTAAAACCTCCAGCATCACTCGGCCGATTTCTGCACTCATCAGCGTCGGCACACGACAAGGGAAGGCAGCACGCGGCTGTGAGCACGTGGTTTACCAAACAGGCGCAGGAAGGAAAGAGGAAAAGTCAAGACATAGGTGGGGGGGGGGGGGGGGGGGGGGGTGGCGCTCGCCTCGGCTATGGGAACGACGCTAAGAGACGGAGATGACCAACCAGTCAGTACCAGCACCGCCGTCTAAAGTGCCCTGCAGGAAACCGACGCGCTGCCGTTTGGGTCCCGAGCGACATCCTGGTTGGGGGAAAAAAAAACTGCCTTCCTAAAGAGGGGCTGGACAATGTGCTTCCTGTACATGATGGCCTCGCTGGGTCACAGATGCTGAGATATCGAGATGAAAAATCCCACATCAGACGCAACGTGTAAAAATGCTCACCGTTTGCGGGTACCTCGCACTGTGATCTGGTGAACTCTCGCAGAATTGTGGACGTGCTTTCGAAAAATTATTGATTTTTTTCCGGTCTCAATTTTCCCAGGCAGGGGCGGATCTTTTAATCGCAGAACGGTGACAAATGGCGATGACTTGCAGTGGATTGATTGTGGTCGATGATGATGTAACGATGCATTGATTGCTCGGTTAAAATAGATTCTTACGCGAAAACCGCGCACGTCCCAATCGTACGTGCGAGGATTCTCTTTGACTTGTGCACGTTGAGCGTGATTGGGCCGTGCAAAAACCTGCAGCCACTCGATGCACTGCATTCAACGTAATAGGAAACTCCATGAACCCGCATTTGGACAATATCCCAGATTCAAAGAGAGCAATTGCTACGTGGCCACGGAACTTAGCAGGTGATGTAAGGAGGTGCGAGGCAGTGAGGAGGAGGTCAGGAGATTGCAGGGCCGAGTGCAGACATAAACGTGATATGTATGTCTATAATCGGAGGTGCGGGGGAAGGACAACAAACTAAACACAAAAAGCAATTCTAAAGAAATAAGTTTTCAATTGAGATTTAAACGTGCATAGCCTCCAGTGTCTTTCTAATGTCAGGAGGCAGAGCGTTCCAGATGGCCTCAGAAGGGCATCTGAAAGCGCGCCATTCGATGACCATCTTTAATCGACGGTTAGCCAATAACCGCTGCTGTGAGCGATGTGTTTTCTCTGTGTAGAGGACTCGCGTTTTCCTCCCAGGCCAAACACTCGTGAAAGGACTTGGCCACGCATCCCAATGCAAGACCCTCCAGAAGAGAAGTTTTGGAACTCGGTGAGGTTTTCCTTCTTAATTTTGAAGCTTTCGTGACTGCAGGAATTATTATTTGGTTATTTCGGTTAAGTCACGTCTAAAGATAAAATAATAAATTAAATAATAGCATATTACGACGTTTCGATTGCAACACAAGCAATCATCATCAGGCATAAAAGAAATAGCAACAAAAATCTAACTAGAAAACTAGCTTTTATGTCTGTCTATAGTTTTCTAGTTAGATTTTTGTTGCTATTTCTTTTATGCCTGATGATGATTGCTTGTGTTGCAATCGAAACGTCGTAATATGCTATTATTTAATTTATTATTTTATCTTTAGACGTGACTTAACCGAAAGAACCAAAGAAGTTTTCCTTATTTGGCCATTATTATGAAAACTTTTTTTTTTAAGAAACGAAATATTTCTGCGATGACCCGAGTCAGTCAAATAGGTCACATTCGGGACAAATACTACCATGTGAAGCAATGAGCAGGCTTTCCGAGTGCATGTTTGTGTTGACCCCAGCTTAAAATAAGTAAATGGTCTTGCGAGTTCAACAAAGCACTGCGGATTGCGTGAAGGCTGGGGGTGTGTGGTGCTGGCAACACTCTCCCTCTGTGTCTGTGTGTCATGCTGGCCTTAATAGATGCTTGCGAACAGCATTTGCCCCAACAGCCGTGCTGGGCAATATGGGATGTCTTTTGTGTGTGCTTGTGTGTGTGTGAAGTTGCATTTAGATGCTCTATGAATCCAATTAGCTTTTAAACCTCTTCACATTTTAAAACAATGTTTAAAAGTGAACACTTTAATGTGGACGGATGGCTCTGGGGTCAGAGCACTGGGCTGGTGCTGCTGATCTCCCGGGTTTGTGTTGGGGCAGACACCCATGGTTAAACTGGGTTCTTACGTTAAGTGACTTCATGAGATTTGTCTGGTCGGCAGTGACTGCATGAAAAATGGATTGCATTTGGTTTTTCCACTCAATTTGGCCCGATTCTACCTTCCCAAACCTTAAAACGTTTCAATTTGATGTGCAATCTCTGTGTTTAAAGAGGCCTCACAAAGTGACTTCACAGGTAGCCCTGAGACATCACCTTTCAGGCACATTCTCCGACACAGGGTGATGCACCGCTAGCTGATGAGTTATCTCACGACAGGATGCCGACAACACGATTTGAGTGTACGTGAAAAGAGGGGGAGGGGGGGGGGGGGGAAATGAAAAACTATTAAATAAATGGTCACACTTAATAATAAAAATACATTAAAACCAGGAAACAAAAACAGAACCAGGGCAACCGACCAAAGAGGGTAGGGCAGTTTAAAGAAATGGGTTTTCAAAGCAGACTTGAATATATCCCTGGGGCTGTTCAGCACGGCTGGCTACGTACGGTGAAAAATAAGCTCAACATACAAACGTACATTTAGCAAAGGATGGAGGGGGAGGGATTGAGTGGTGTGAAGCTGGGCTCGTGTGTCACGGCTACTTACGATTCATCTGTGAAGGCCAGGCCGAAGTACTCCTTCTCCTTGAGCTGGAAATGAGAGGCCACCAGGTCCAGAAGATCCTTGGCCAAGAGCTTCGGCTGGAAGACAAAGTGCACGGGGTTCCTTTACATTGGACTCTTCATTGCCGTTGCTTCTATAGCTGTAGAAATGCACTTGCATGCGAACGAACCGCACGGGACACCATTGTACAATGTGTATAACGCAGCGTGGGCCCATTTCATGTTCGAACTGATATTCCATTATGTCCGATTGATGTCACACAACTGCAAGTTTCTCGATCAGTAACACCGGAGCAAATCGCCAATGCGATGTGTTTCACCTGTTTTGTCTTATGTAAAACTGGCTCGATATGTCATTAGACCTCCTTTGCCAGTACCAAAATATAATAATAGGGGTTTTCCCCTTTTTTCTGGCAACAAAACTGAAACCTTTTAACAAGGATTCATGTGTGCATTAACCACAATACTTGCAGTCAAAATGCAAACAAAAAACACACTGATAATGTATGCATTGTCCTTGAAACTGATTGGTCCACACCAAGGAAGACTTTCTTTTGAGCCTCGACCCAATTGTTGCTCGACCAGACGACGCCAAAAGGCGTACAGCTCAAAGACATATATCAAAGCATATATTATCATAATGTGTTTTTTTTGCAGTTTGACTGCAAGTATTGTGGTTAATGCAGACATGAATCCTTGTAAAAAGGTATTCAGTTTTGTTGCCAGAAAAAGGGGGAAAACCCTATTATTATGGCTCTATATGTATATATCATGTACAGTTACGCATGAAATATCAGGTGAATGTGACATTTTGGGGACTGCGTTAGCAGTGATGCAGAAGTACACGTTGCCATGAGCACAAACTGCTTTATAATTGAACAATTCATCGAAAGATATTCTGGGTAACCGGACTTTCTCCTTTGCTTGAAAAAAATTGACGAGACGATAGCAATCGCCAAAAAACGTTACCTCGCGCCAATATTGTGGCGGCGTTATACATCTGTCCAGTTTACAAAGGCGATTTTGTTGCGAACGAATTACAGCGGTTGAGGTTGATTTTTTTGTATTCTGCATTCCATAGGGTTGAATGGCATTCTAAAAAAAAAAATTGATTGCGCCGAAAGACAGCGTGCCGATTGCGTTCATCACTTGATTGAAGCGACTCGGCGAAGCAGGAGGGGGGGGTGCCGAGTGCCAAGGTTGATGAACCCACCACGGACAGGTTAACAAATGATCTGGCGAAGAATTACCAAGGCCAGAGACATGGGCTCGGAGCAGCGAGTGTTTGACTCACGGTCAACACTCTGGACCCACAGTCAACTTTCTTCAATATGACAGCACTCTAGGCCGACCGGGATTACACGCCAACGTTGATTTTTCCACCGCCAAGCTCAGGTTTTTTTGACCAGAGGTTGTCCATTATTATCCGAATCGATCCGAGGATCTTCCAATTAACCGCACATCCATTCTTCATATTGCTCGCATGATCATGGTTATCATTATCATCATCTTCATCATCGGCTATGATCTGATCTATCCATTGATGAAGAAGCCCTAAAAAGCTGTCGCTATCTTTTGCAATCCTGCGATGTATTAATCCACCCAGCACCTGAACACAAGCTGATTGTCCTGGGAAGCGGAATGACCCATTAGTGGTGGAATAAATATCCTACTATCCACATTTAACTGTACCTATGTTGACCTTTCTGTCGCACCGTACGTAGCCAACCGTTCTACATCGGGGGTGCAGGAGAAGGAGAACAAATATCAACCTGCGTTTATTCATAGGGAATAAACAAAGTTATTTTTTATTTATTTAAAGCTTTCGTGACTGCAGGGATTCATATTCTTGGTTCTTTCGGTAAAGTCACGTAGAAGGGAAAAAAATAAATATAAAACCTAAAATTTTCTTGCTGTGGATTTCACACCTGATGATGATTGCTTGTGTTGCAGTCGAAACGTCGTGAGAATTTTTCTTGTTTAATATTTATATTATTTTATTATTTCCCTTCTACGTGACTTTACCGAAAGAACCAAGAATATCAAGTTATTTATGTGTGTGTCTATACAGGCAGCTGGACGTATCTGGCAATAGCACCTTCCCTGTCCCTATAACAGCGTGGATTAGTGATTTCGAATTGTTGCATTGCAGATAGGATTGGCGACAGCTTGTGGAGGCCTTCATCCAGCAGTGGATTGATCATGGCTCTGCTACTGCTGCTGCTGATTATGAGAATGATGAAGAGAGGTTTCTGAAGTTCATCCTGGAGCTTGTAACTATAATGTGTAATAAATATTTTGAGGTTTTTTCGATAAAGTCACGTAGGTAAGTAAGTCACCTACGTGACTTTACCGAAAAAACCTAAGAATATGAATCCTTGCAGTCACGAAAGCTTCAAATCTAGTGTAATAAATACTATGGGTGAGTTGTCCCATCCAAAAAAAATCAGCAATTGTGTTAAATTGCAATGCAAACTCGACGATTTAAACAGCAGAAATATTATAAAGTCATTAATTTTAATTACGATTTTCCAGTTATCTTCATTTCCAGGAAGAAAAAAAGCATCCGATACACATCTGTGTACTCAATAATACTGTAACAATAATATCATCTATCCATGGTGGCAGCTGTTTTCAAGGCCCTCTTTCTGACAATTACTCATGTATATTTGAAGCCATGCACAAACTGCATTGGCCCCATGGTGTTCATCAATGGCTCACCAATATCTATCAAATCCACGGGATGTGCACTTTAATGTAGTTAAGCAGAGTGCCCGACTCGTAGTCTGCAACATCCTGCCAGAGCCTAATGCAACTTTGTCTTGAACAGCACGTGGTTGTGCACGCCGCACATGAGAGCCCTATGGACAATCACAGCCGCCAACACTTCCTCCGCTCTGCCCCACGCCCACTCTCATCTTTGTTTAACCATTTGGATATGCTGGCGTGGAGAGTTCAGAAAGAGTTCACACCGGATTGATGTGGACATGCCTTCATTCACGAGGGAAGAGAGCGGCGGCAACAGTGGTCAGAGAATTGCGCTCCGAGCCCGGCCACCCGAGGTTGATTCCCAGTCAGAATATTTGTTTTTATATATACTGGAGGAATCCGATGAGCGTTAAAGCTCTTTTTCACAGATGTCCAGTAGTTCACAGATGTCCAGTCGAGGGCTGATGCCAGCGGCGGATGATATCTGAACACGTTGTCTGGGGTGCCTCCTCTTTCACCAATCCGTACTGACCCAGCATGGTGAAGTATGGCCAAACAACCCTGGTGAGCAACTTGGCAGAGAGAAAGAATCGATCGGAATCAGAAGCTGTATCGAGACTGGAGGAATCCGAAGAACTATGAAGCTCTTTTTGTGTGTGTCACAGATGTCCAGTGGGGACGGGGTCGGAAAGTTACAACAATAAAAAAAGGCGATTGGATTGCAAAGTACAGGAAATGTAAGCGAGTCACTGACAATGAATTAAGAAAAGGAGATCATAACTCGCCTTTTGTCCGTCCAAGGACGGGTGTATTTCAGTAAATCTGAAACTTGCAAGCGAACAGCAGACCGCGACGTGATAGTCATTGCATCAATTCGTGTGCAATTTGTAAGGCCGCGGTGACACAGACCTATTTCATTTAAAGGTTATAATCCCTTGTTCATCAAGACGTCCTTTTTACTTCGATGTCTCAACAGCGTTACGGAGATCGCGTGACGTGAGGGTTCTGACTTTGTAGTGAGGGTTGTAAGTTGACGCTGAGGAGGGGGTGGAGTGACGTCACCCGCTAATTATTATTAATGAGGGTGTCCATTTGGAAGACGTCACCTTATAATGATTATTAATGAGAGGGGCTGTTCGATGTGGAGGACGTCACCTGTTCATGAGTATTCATGAGGGGGGCTGGCCAACGTGGAGTGACGTCACGTGCGGGACACACAGACATCCTTGGCTCATTGTAGTAGTAAATATAGGCCTTTCACAATAAAATTTTCGTGATGTTAGAACACCGAAATTATCCAAATGTATTATGGGCAAATAAAAAAAAATGCATTGCTGCTTAACAAATATTTTGATGCAATAATTTCCTATGCAGCAGATCCATTCGTCCTCGGCACGACATGAACGCGTTAAATCGAACACCGACTTCTATTGAAGCAAGGTCAAGCACGCACGACTGGAGCGTTTTGTAATTTGCACGTAAAGCAACGCTCACATATGCAGCTACACCACACAATGACTAATTGCGTGCACAATGTGCCGCGTGATTGTTTAATAATATTCACAAGATACCCTCTGTGTGAGGCACTCATTTAAGCACACAAAGACTCTTGACATTCACGATGATTGTCAGCCATGTTTATCCATATGGGATAAGTGTTTTGTCCAATAAAAAAAACAGGTGGAGCGGCGGTGCAGTGGTTAGCACCCTGCGCTACAGACCCGGCGACCTGAGTTAGATTCCCACCCATGGCTAGCATCAATAATAAAGTGATATCCTAACCAGTCCTCGGCCATCCCTTTCACAAAACCACACCGGCCGGTGCGGCGAAATATTTCCGAATAATCTCCATGACCAACCACAGTACGGGGAGGCCTGCAATGTTTTACTCTGTTTTGAAATGTGGTTCACTTGATAAATATGTTGACGTGGCCATGCTTTAACACGTTTATGAGGATGCAGTCTTTAATGAAAACCCCAACCCTCCACAGAGAAGAAAATAAGATAGAAAAAGACTTGTGATTTATACAGGTAGGACATATTGGGAAAGGGCTATAGATTTTCCTCACCACCTGTGGGATTTCAACCGATCAATTAGGGCTCAACACCTTTGTACTCATGTAGTGACATCGCTGGATGTAACCATGCTATGGGTGTAGTACCAGCCCTATAGGGGCACGGTATGCGTTGAGTAACAACGATGGATGGCACCATGCTGGAAGTGCATTGCCGGCCCTACAGGACACGGTGTGTGGGTGCCGACCGAAGGGGAAGGTCGTGTGAGGCCATGGCACTCTGGTTGACCCGGGAGGACACGTGACCAGGTTAAGTTGAAAGAGGGGCCCCCAAGAGGGGGCAAGGGGGGAGTC